GCTGCTGCTGCTGCTGCTGCTGCTGCTGCTGCTGCTGCTGCTGCTGCTGCTGCTGCTGCTTCTCCTGCTCCTACTGCTGTCTCCAAGTTGGATGCCCAGTGGGAGACAATTTAGGAGAATTTTATTTAAATTAATTTATTTAAATAAATTAAATAAATTATAATTAATAATTAAAAAAAAAAATAATAATTAAAGAAAAGGAGACACCTTATTAATAAAAGGAGACAATTTATTTAGAGACACTTCTCCTTATTATTATTTAGAGACACCTCCTTGTAAGGGACAACTATTATAATTACAGACAGTTAGTATTTATTTAAGGAGACAATTCCTTAGAGGAGACAATTCCTTAGAGGAGACAATTCCTTAAGGAGACAATTCCTTAAAGGAGACAATTCCTTAAAGGAGACAATTCCTTAAAGGAGACACTTTTCTTAAGGGAGACACTTTTCTTAAAGGAGTCAATTAATTAGTTAGCCATTAGAAATGTTTTTTGCTTCTTTTATTACCATGCTGGGTCCTGCTGCTGCAGTCGTTGCTGCAGCAGCTGCTGCTGCAGTCGTTGCTGCAGCCTTTTGAAAAAAAGCTTCTAAAGCATGCAACAACCAACAGCTAGCTAGCTAGCTATTAGCTAGCTAGCTATTAGCTAGCTAGCCCATTAGCTAGCTAGCCCATTAGCTAGCTAGCTATTAGCTAGCTAGCTAGGGTAGCTGTTGCCTAGCTATATGGCTGTTAGCTAGTAGCTAGCTATCTAGCTAGCTATAAAAAATACGCGAATTCTGTTAATTAAGAGCTAGCTAGCTGTATGCTAGCTAGCTATATGCTAGCTAGCTATATGCTAGCTAGCTGTATGCTAGCTAGTTATATACTAGCTAGCTGTATGCTAGCTAGTTATATACTAGCTAGCTGTATGCTAGCTAGTTATATACTAGCTAGGTGCCACCTAGTCCCTTGCTCCGTACGTTGCAGCTGCCATATGAGCTAAGAGGCTGCTGCTGCAGGTGCTGCTGCTGCTGCTGCTGTAGCTGCTGCTCCCCTTGTGCCTGCTGAGGGACTTGTTCAGCTTGCGGCTGCTCGACGACTAGGCAGTTGGCGACAGGTGCTGCTGCTGTTGCTGCACCTGCTGCAGGGACATCCTGCTGCGGGCGTTGCTGCAGTTGCTGCAGCTGCTGCAGAGGGTTGGCAATGAGTTTGTGTAAGAAGGAGACAGCAGCTGCAGCAGCGGAGAGAGGCGCTTCTGCCTGCTTCTGTTCCTGCTCCTGCTGCTGCTGCTGCTGTTGTTGTTGTTGCTGCTGCTGCAGCTGGTAGTGGGTCATTGAAGTGTCTCCTCTTAGCCTTGGGTAGTAGTAAGCGCTATGAGGGGAATCTGTGGGGGTAAGACAGACACTCTGCGGTGTATCTGCAGCAGACGCAACAGAAGCAGCACCGCTGCAGCCTCCAAAGAATGTTGCTGCATGCACAGGAGCACCTCTTGCTGTAGCTGCTCCTGGTCCCCCACGGAAGCTGCTGCATCCGCTGCTCTCTCCTGCTGCTGCTGCTGCTGCTGCTGGGGGTGCTGTAGCTGCACCTCCAGCAGCCAAGAGGTTAGGGGCTATAACATGCGTTAGCTGCAATCGAGGGACAACAACACTGTGGCGGCTGCTGCTGCTGCTGCTGCTGCTGCTGCCAGAGTAGCTGGTGACTGGTGCTGCTACTGCTGCTGTAGACGGAGCAGCTGCTGCTGTTGCTGCTGGTGCTAATGCAGCAGGCAGCTCAGCTTTCCCTTCGGGGTCGGAGGGCCCTAAAGGCAGCAAAAGGGGATTTCTGTTGCTACGAAGTGGCAGCAGCTGCTGCTGTTGCTGCTGCTGCTGCTGCTGCTGCTGCTGCTGCTCGACCTCATGCGCATGTTGTTGCTTCAACACTGATGTTGACCTGCTCTCCTGCTGCGGTTGCTGCTGCTCCTGCTGCTGCTTCTGCTGCATTAGACGTATAGCCCTCTTCTGGTGCAGCTGCAGCTGCAGCATTTGCAGCTCTTTTTGCTGCTTCTCTCTTTGTCTCCTTTTAAATTCAATCTCTAGCTGCTGCAGCTGCAGCTCTCTGTGCTGCTGCTGCAGGTGTCTCTGCTGTCTCTCTAATTCCCGTTGCTGCGCCAGCAGCAAAATGTCGCTAATGCTCAGCCGCTGCACAGGCACTGCACAATCCGTCCTTATTGCAGGGACACTGTCTCCTATTTCTTGAGACGTTGCTGCTGCTGCTGCTGCTGTCGCTGTTGCTGCTGCTGGGGAGACGCCGCTGGTGCTGCTGCTGCTGCTGTTGCATGCAGGATTAGCTGCAGGAAAGGGGCCAAAGGGAAGCATATCCGTTGGGTGGGGACGACGAGGGGTGCAGATGATTTCTGCTGCGTAGAGCCTCCTCTGCTGCACTTGATTACCCGTGCTGCTGCTGCTGCTGCTGCTGCTGCTGACATCAACTCTGACGTTGGGAACGGTGTTGGTGCTGCTGCTGCTGCTGCTGCTGGTTCTGCTATCGTAGGGAACTGTGGTGGCGGCATTGTTGCTGCTGCATCTGTCAGCAGCTGCTGCTGCAGCAGGAGACAGTCCCCAAGGAGATGGGGCATGAGGAGACTGTTGAAGTACAGATGGTGAGTGGCGAATGCTGCTGTTGCTGCTGCTTCTGTTGCTGCTGCTGCTGCCGCTGCAGTTGCTGTTGCTGTACATTCTTTCTGTTGTGCCTCTACTGGGGCTGCCATAACTGTACAAAGGAAGCTCCCCCAGGTAGAGAGGCGGCACTAAAGGCAGCTGCTGCCGCTGCTGCTGCTGCTGCTGCTGCTGAGGGTGTGTGGAGTCACAGAGGGGAGAGACAACGGAGTCTGCGGGGAGGCAGTTGCTGGTACAGTGGAGAGTCCCTTCTTGGGTGTTGCGCTCTCTCCTGCTGCTGCTGCTGCTGTCTTTTTGGTTGTTTGTGCTGCCCGTGTCTCTGTCTCTTTCTCTGTCTGTTTTTCTTGTTAACAATGGGGAGGCCTCGATTCTCCCTTTTGCTGCTGCTGCTGCTGTTGCTGCTGCTGCTGCTAGCTCAACATCGGGGACTTCTCCTTGACTGTCAACCAAAGAGACGCTGCCACCTTGCGGGCTCACTCCACCCGCTGCTGCTGCTGCTGCTGCTGCTGTTGTTGTTGTTGCTGCTGCTGCGTCTGACAGGAGTGGCGTTCTGCTGCATGCAGGAGCAGCGGACAGCCCCACATGCAGGGATAGTTGGCTGCGTGCGCTTCCCTGTCCTGCAGCAGCAGCAACAGCTGCTGCAGCAGGGACGGCAACAGTAGCAGGAGCACCATCAGAAGTAGTATTTGTTGCGCTGCTGCTGCTGCGGGTGTCGCCGGTGTCATCGTTACAAGGAGGAGAAGGAGACACATCTGTCTCCTTCTGCAGCAGCCCTCCTAGCAGTGCTGCTGCAGCATCAACAGCTTTCCTCCATGATCCATCAGCAGGAACCTTCTTGTCTTCCTCTGTCCAGTAACGTCTTCCTGACTCCTGCTGCTGCTGTAGCGGCTGCTGCTCCTCCTGCTGCTGCTGCTGCTGCTGCTGCTGCGGTTGTTCTGGCAAGCGCTGCACCAGGCGAGGAGTCGCTAAGGCCGCCACTGCGTTTATACCCGAGCGAAGCCAGCGAGCGCAGAGTGCAGCAGGAGAAGGATCTGTTGCTGCTGCTGTTGCTGCTGTTGCTGCTAATGCTGCTGCTGCTTCTGCTGCTGTTGCTCCCGTGTCATGAAGGAAGCTCTTTGTGTCTTGAAAGCTTGACTGCTTGCTGTAGGCTTGTTGCTGCTGCTGCTGCTGCTGCCCATTTGCATTGGGTGGGCGTATACGCCGTTGTCGCTGCAGCAGCTCCTGCTGCAGCATCTCTTGCTGCAGCAAGGCTGGTACTTGCTGCTGCAGTTCCTGTCTCTTGTGCTGCTGTGCTGCAGTTGTTATACCTTGAGAGTCCATCTCTATAGATGGAGGAGACATTGGGGAAACAGCATGCTCGCGAGTGCCTATCTGTATAGTTGCTGACCTCTGCTGCAGCAGCAGGTGGTGTTGCTGCTGCTGCTGCTGCAGAAGCTGCTGCTGTTGCTGCTGTTGTTGCTGCTGCTGCTGTCCCCTGTCAACAGGATCCGATGCATCGTATGACCAAAAGAGACCTTCAGGAGGCTCAGCTGCCCCTCTGCAAGCTGCCTCCTGGTTATGCCGCAGCAGGAGCTGCTGCTGCCGCCTTTGCTGCTGTTGTTGTTGCTGCTGCTGCAGCTGCTGTTGGTGTAGCTGCTGCTGGTGTATAGTTAAGAAGTTAGCAAAGGCCATCCTTCTGTCTCTCTCTGCTGCAGGAGACTCTAAGGAGCGACGCCTATGTAGTGCATGACGGAAAGGGCTTTGCCTATAGTGGTGTTGCTGCTGCTGCCTCAAGATCTGCTGCTGCTGCTGCAGCATCATTAGCTGACGCTGCTGCTGCTGCTGCACTTGCTGCCATGATAGCTGGTTGTTGGGAGTCTCCCTGCTGAAGGGAGGAGCAGCACGATAGGCAGCTGGGCGCAGCAGAGGTGTTGTTGCTGTTGCTTCTTGTTGTTGCTGCTCCTGCTGACTGCGCTGTCTTTGCTGCTGCTGCTGTCTGTGCTGCTGCTGCTGCTGCTGCCGGTGCTGCTGCAGTGCTGCTTGGTGCTGCTCTATTAATTTATAAGCTGTAAAGCGGACGGACTCTGCTGTTGAGCATGCGCTTGCTTCGGAGACACCGCGACGAACAACTTGCTGCTGTTGTTTGCTGCTGCTGTTTGGAGACACTTGAATCGATTCACCAGCAGCAGCAGCAGCAGCAGCTGCTGCTGCTGCAGCAGCTGCTGCTGCTGCTGGATTAATCGGGGCATTAGGTGATGCTACTGCAGCCCCTGGTACTGTTCTTGCTGCTGGTACCGGCAGCAACACCGCCGTTGCAGGTGTTGCTTTTGTCACTTTTGCTGTTGGTGCAGCAGCAGCAGCAGCAACTGCTGCTGCTGCTGCTGC